TAAAAATTTTTTAGTTAACAAAACAAACTTTTTATTATACTAAATTACAGCTAATTCTTTGGGATTTATGATAACTTATAAATATTTGGCTAATTTAATTCTAACTTTTAAAAATCCCGTCTTCTAAATGACCTCCAACACATTTTTCAATATTAGATAAAAAGTGGTAAAGTCGTAAACGCAATTCTAACTCGTTCAATATTTTCTGGTGTACGAGCCAGGCTTTTTTTAAATTTTGTACAGAACCATTTTCACGCCAATGACGAACCCATAACTTAACAGTTTTACGATTTGGCGCGTGACCCCTATTGTTGTTATTAAACTGACGCCGGAATGCACGCCTAACTTAAGTTAGAATTCTTCTATCGAATTGCTTCTTATGTAAGTTTCTACACAAAACACACGTTGTTGGACTGAGTAATCCATGAAAGTTCAAACGGATGTTGAAATAATGTCTCAAAGCAAAAAAATTAAATAACTTAAATAATTATTGATGAAAACTAACAAACTTTTCGTAAAAAAAATGACGTTCCAGGAAATTATTAATTTAAAACTTATTTGTGACAGGCGCCTACTTGATTAATAATTAACTTAAATCCCAAAGACTATAGAAGATATTCCCATAGAGAACAACTTATTTAGTTATCTCGTAGGGAATAGTAGTCTATTATGGGGAACCCTGTATATTGTATATTTGTCTTATTTTTTAAATACTTTTGAAGAATTTTAAATTTTAGACCATGTTCAACTTATTTTCTGCTTTTAAATTTTTAAATTATGTGCTTGCTCTTAGAAATAGAAACAGTAGGTTTTGGGTAAAGGGCTCAACAAGGTAGAGGAGACTTTTTTCTGAGAGGAAATTTAAACTCCATTTATTTTTGGGCCCAAAAATATACTATTAAACATAGAAGAAAATGAAAGAAAATGAAATATTTCTAATTGAATATACATATTATAATATTATTAACAGTTTTTGCCAATAATACAAGTTTAAAAGGCATTTTTTTAAATTATGCCGGATAATGTACACCAACATATCAGTAGAATGGTCTTCTTATTCACCGGATCTTAATCCAATTGACAACTTTGGGATAAAATTAAAGTTAAGAATTAGAGCTGAAAGAAGAGTGAAAAAAACAATCGTATTTCAAAAACAAAACACAATCTACCCGCTTACACTTGAAAACTTCCTTCAGGATAACTGAAACGTATCCTAATTAAATTTGTTAGACAGATTAAGAATATACGAACTTTGAATATCAAATTGATGGTATGAGAGTAAAAGAATTTAGAAGAATAATTAATTATTTAAAACACACAAACTTTTCTTGTTTTGAGCAACTTAAATTTAAAGGTGTTAATCGATTTTGTAATTAAATTTTAATTATTTTAAGGATTATATGTGGGTAGAAGTTTAATTACTTGAGTCTTTGATTTTATGCAAAAAATAATTTTACTGGAATTAGAAAAAAAACATTTTTCGTTAAAAGGTCGGCTCTTGAAAGAGGAAAACATTAAAAAAAAAATTGTTATGTCCTAAAGTTTTGTTTTAAAAATGGAGAAAAAGTAGCAGGAATAACAAAGTTACAACGGTTTTGGTTTTGACAATTTGTTCAAACTCTATTATGGAAAATTCAATATATACAAATTCCATATACCCACCACTAAAATATTTATAATGTTTATATAACAATTCGTTCTATAAAATACGAATTTAATTTATAAAAGTACATTTCTAACAAATATGGATAATTATACAAGGGTGAAATAATCATAAAAACTGTAATTGCTAGAATATTATTTTGTGTAAATAGCATTTTTAAATGTTAAAACATACAACATTAAATCTGACATATAATGGAATAATCATAAAAACTCCAAAGTTTAGTTCTAATTAAATTTAATTCCTAAAATGATATTTCTCGACCGCTTTATTTTGCGATTAGTTGACGTGTTATGGCCCCCTCGGTCTCCTGATTTGTCATCATGTGATTTTTTTTAAATGGGGATACCGGCTTGGTTAATGTGTTGATGTTAATGATCATATGCCAGATTTAATTTTTGCACATAGTGAATGGTAAATGACATGTTTTAATAATTATAATTATTATTAGATTACCATAGGATGTCCGTTATTTTCCAACTTGGATTTTTTGTTCGCAGCGCCCCCTAAATTGAACGCGGTACAAAAAAGCTTTCCTGTGATTTTTTCATAAATTTACTGATTTAAAAATTATTTAAGGTTAAAGGTTAAGTTATTTAAAGTTAAAGTTATAGTAATTTTTTCGATTTTTTTACTTTGACTGCAAAATTATTATTATTTTTATTAAAATGAATTGTTTATTTTTGAAAATATGTGATTTTATTGTAATATTGACAAAATAAAATTTATTGAAAAGAGATTCCGATAAATTAAATTTTTTATATTACATTAAACGAATCTGGTAGTAGTTTTACTCAATTTTAGCACGATTACTTTTTTACATAATCTTTTTATTTCTGTGAAATTCTACAAAATTTTATACGAATTTATAATTTATAAATTATAAAATATTATACCTTAAAAAGTTTTCCATCAGTACAGCTAATAACGTAGAAATTCTTTTAAGAATTTTTTACGACTAAATAAAATTCGTAGTTACGCATACGTTGTCTTGAGTATGAGATGCAGAAATTTCCGCTACACCAATAATTATTATCCTTTTCAAATAAGTTAAATGTATTTTCCTACTCCCACCTTTAAAACGCCCTTTATCGTACATGTTTCCATGACACTAAGTGACCTTTTAAATACACATTGACAAGTTGTGGCTTTATAGCGCTTTAGTCACGGGCTGAAGTTAGCAACAGGTTTTTAGTCACGGGCTGAAGTTAGTTTTAAGTTAGTTGACAGTTGTCAAATGTCATACAATCGTTAAAATAAAGTGCCTTTCTTGTAAAATAATACTAAACGTGAAAATTATTTTATTATCTCAATACAAAAATACAAAAGTATTAAATAGTTTCTCAACGCCAATATTTGAAAAGTTTATATGAACATTGTACTGACCTTTTAATTTCGCCGGCAGTAAACTATAACTTAAATTCGGCCACGGACTTCACTGCAAAGTGTTCATAAAGCATTTCATACTTTCACTGTGAAAAACTGTCAATTTTCAAGAAATACATTTCGATTTATAACCTTTATAATCTGTGTTTATAAAATACAAAAATTTGACATTTGACAGTGACACACAGATTCCTCTATTGTTTCATAGATGGCGCTCTATACAAATTTTTAATTTAAATTATTTTAAGATAATAATAAGTATTTTTCGTAGAAAAAGTATAGTATGCACCTCGTTTATAAACTTTTCTATATACTCATTAATTTAAATTAAATTCGTGTATAAAATGGCGTTTATAAAACTTGATACATAAAATACTATTATCTACTTCTTCATTGACGAGCTGTGACTTTATGGCTGAAGTTGCCAATAAGTAGTGGCTTTTGGGCATTTTGGTGACGGCTGAAATTAGCTTTATTATATATTAGAGAAAAGTGAGGTTAATTTCGTTGACATTTGACAGGTGTCAAATGTTTAACAAATATAATTGGCTTTAAATTCTTTTTGTGTTTGTCGTAAATAAAGTATACTTAGTATGCAACTCGTTTTATAAACTTATCTAGACACTCGCTCGTGCCTAATAAAACTAAAATGGCGTATAAAACTTGATAAATAATACCTATACTATTGTATAAAAGATGCCACAGACGATGGGGGATTCACCTACTTTAAACTTCAACTTTGCGACACGAAATCTGTGAAGTGCGACTTCTGCCTTCTGTGGTCAAAGTACTAAATCATACTTTAGTGCGCATGCGTAACTACAAATTTTATTTTTTCGTAAAAATAATTGTTAAAAGAATTTCTACGTCATTAGCTACAGCTGAAATTTTTCATTGTATAATATTTTATAAAATCGAATAAAATTTTGTTAAATTTCACAGAAATAAAAAGATTACTACTAAATTTGAGTAAAACCAGATTCTTTTAATGTAATAAATAATTTTAATTTATCGGAATCTCTTGTCAATAATTTTCACTTATCTCTTTTCAATTATTTTTAATTTTTTTAATAATACAATAATATCACATATTTTCAAAAATAAACAATTCATTTTTATAAAAATAATTATAATTTTGAAGTCAAAGTAAAAAAATCGAAAAAATTACTATAAGTTTAACTTTAACCTTAAATATCTTTTAAATCAGTGAATTTATTAAAAAGTCATAGTAAAGCTTTTTTGTACAGCGTTCAATTCCCCATAAAAAATATGTGTCACTTATTGCTGTATATTAACTTGCTCGGGAGAAAAAAAATAAATGTAAAACTTGCCGAAACCCCATGTTATTTAAATGAAAAATGTATAGTCTTTGTGGCACGGTTTAATATGAATATTTTTTTATAATTTTTTTTTAGGTCATAAACTAAAAATTTAGGGGGCGCTGCGAACAAAAAAACCAAGTCGGTAAATAACGGACACCCTAATGTACATTCATGTACATGGTACCATCAATATTATAATTTTAATTTTATCCAGTTTAACTAGTTTTAAATGTGATTATATTTTTATTTGCACACTGTCTTAAGACACAAAAAGTTTGAACTCTCCAGACACGTTTTATACATAAACCAAGCTTACGAGTATGTATAATACATACAGAAATAAATCCTTTTGAAGATAGTAATTATAATTATTAAACGTGTCCTTTGTGTAAATAGATGTTTCGGGCACGAAATAGCAGAATAGGTTATCCCCGAAATAATAACTTTTCAGTCCCCAAGGGCGGCGAGTCGCCCCCATCAATATCGTATAGGATTTCGCTTAGGTTTCCACCTAAACAAAGTTTACCCGAAACTTTGCTAAAACATTTATCGCGCAGTGTGCAACTACTACTTTCAGAAAAGTTGGCCTCGCTAATTCATTTTCTTTATTTTTGTTTTTTATTGTTTCAGGGTGCGGGTCGAATATTACGTCAACGAAAATACCTTTAAGGAGAGACTTCAGTTGTACTTCATCAAAAATCAAAGATCAAGTAAGTACTAATTACATAATCTGTTAGGTATACAACATTACAAAACTACTCTTTAAAAATGAATTAGTCAAAAAATGACCAATTACTACAGTTATTAGTGGCTGGGTTTTCACTTATACCATCCATTCGAAGAAACCATCAAAAATTATGAAAATAAAACAATTTTTGGGATATAGACAATTCCATTATATGGAATATTGAATATATCTCAAAACCCGTTCTAATTTTATAACTTTTGACGACATTTTCGGATTCATGGGATAATTTTACATGGAAATTGACTGCTAAATACAATACAATACAAATTGCTTTTGATGAGAATTATTAGTGGCTGCTTTTTCGCTATGACAATTAGTCATTTTTGACTAACCCATTTTTAGAGAGTAAAGAATAATCAATTATATTAACTAACTTTTTGTTTCAAAAGTACTCGTACTCTTTACTCGTGTTTTCAAGATTACTACTCTTAACCGTAACCTCTCTTTACAAATGTACTTACGAGTAAAGTACTTACGAGTAAATATTTTAAGTACTCGTACTTAAAATTTTACGAATACTTTTTTAGTACTCGTGCCCAGCTCTGTTAACCATGGAATACCATGGTATCCCAAAATTTAACAGCCAATTATTATGTAAAATTGTCCCCTGTATACGAAAATACCGTAAAAAATGATGAAAGTGAAGCAGTTTTTGAGATATAGTCAATTTCATATTAAAACATGCTTTGGGTAAAATAGTATTGTTGTTTTAGTAGCAATATTAAGTTTATTTAGTTTTTTCCATATATGAGATTTGTTATTATTGTCAACAAAACTTTTAAGATATGCTATTTTTTCATGAATTAGGCTTTGATTTGTATAATTTCTAAGCTGCTTGTAATATGACCAACTCTCTCAAAAATAACTAATTATAAGTCATACTTGACTAATTGTCATAGCCAAAGAGCATTCACTAATAATTAGTCAAATTCTACTGAATGAAATAGTCAAATTAGTAGATTTAAATTTAAAAAAGTTTTGACCCAGCCAGGGATTGAACTCAGGTCTGTTACTTGTCAAGCTTGTCAAGCTGTTGCCATAACCCATTCTGCTATCAGCCTCTCTTATAAAAATCAATTTTATTTGTCAATAAATATTGTTCATAATATTTTAAAGTTGAATATATTATTTGTGTTGCTGTTTAGAGCTAAACTTTTTGCATCTTTATTTGTTTTTATGGGTCATTTAACCATGGAGCTTAGGTATATGCATTTAATTCAAATAATTTGCTGTTGGCCGCAAACGATTAAAGAAATTAGTTACTTTTAACTCTCAGAAATAGTCAAAGATGGTGACTAATCTTAAATTAGTCAAATTTACGTAGTAAAAAATAACTATTTAAAAGTGAAAACGACTATTTTATTAGTAAAAAATGCTGGTACTAATTCAATTAGTAGAATTTTAACTATTTCATTTTTAGAGAGAATGTTCCGGTAGTTTTGTTTTATTAAATTTACTTAAATCCTTGCCTCTAAAAGACATTAGTAGCTTTAAATTATCAGTTAGCCACGGATATGGTTTTTTACAGATTCTAGCTTTACGAAAAGTCATATGAATATTAAAAAGACTAGCTTGTTAAAATTAATGATATCGCTAAAAGGAATATTTAAAAGATCCTTAAGAAAATTATCATAGTTAAAGTTTCTTTTATCTACTTTGCGTTCAAAATGACTTCATTATAACACCGCTTTCGGTGCTGTAATGAGATACTTTATCCCACCCAAAATTTTGATTGAGGTTGGCTATACTTTAAACAGCATATTAGTTTGCAAATTGCTTATAATATTTTTATGATTTTTCTAGTACTTAGGAGACTTTTCAGGCAATAATTTTTTTTAACACCAACGTTGACAGCCGCTTATTGTAAATAAGTAAATTAAGGACGGCATGGCGAATCCATTTTGACATTAACTGTCAAACCAATGACTGTGAAACCAACTATCTAAAGTAAAATTCGACCAAATTAAATTTAAGGTATAAAATTAGAATTTTTGCAAAATAGATAAAATAGCATAAGACCTTTTGTCGCACTTGTCCATTATTCCAAATTATCCGCGTGCGACAAAATTACGTCTTGATGATATTAGTTCTTTAATATACTATTATCTCTGTAATTATGGGAAAAATTTGAATTTATGGGCATATTTATATTGAAATGGCCTACACTGTTTAAAATATCTGTGGTGTAAAAAGTAATCTTAAAATGGTGTCAAAATCCAACACCAAGTGGTGTTAATATAACACCATGAATTATGGTTGAAAATGTGTACCGATCGCGGCAAAGGCGGTGTGGATCACGTGATGTTCTTAAATCTCGCGTCTGTTGACTTACATGAAGAATATATAAACTGAGGTAATCCTTTGCTTTGGTGTGACACTACAAGTTGTTCGATACTAAAGAGACCTTAAATAGGTAGAAACAGCTGTCAATACTTAAAGTATTTTAAGTTAGTGCAACGCACTAAAAACATTATCTCTAGCGAGTTGAAGGTTCCATTTTCTGGAATAATACCACTGGTAATATACTAGTAATGCGTCAAGGAACTTCCTGTTTCCTTTTTTTTCCTTTTTTCTGTGTAGTATGATTTAATTTGTCCACAAACACATAATATTTAACACTGAAAAGGAGTTCAATTTACACCAAGTAAAATTTATTTTAATACTGTGTGAAAGTTAAATTAACACCATTTTAGTATTTGAATTTACACCGGACCAACGGACCTTATTTAACACCATTTTGGTTTGTATCGATATAGACCATGTTTGGTGTTAATTTGGTGTTAAAATGGTCATGAAATTTTGAACAGTGTAGTATGAGGCAATGATCTGAAATTTCCGAAACATCGTGAACGGCAAAGTTAATTATTTCTACCTTATCCGAGATAATTAAAAGATCTAATGTAGAAGTAGTTTGCGTTACCCTAGTGGGGTCTTGAATGGTTTGTTTCAAGTTGTATGAACTTAAGATAGAGTTAAAATTCAGATTTCAGAAGCAAACCATTTTTAACAAAACTAATTCTTGCAAGGTTATTATACCTATCTTTGATTAAAATGCCCTTTTTTTAAGAAAAGAATATCAATTTTATATGTAATATCATACAAACAAATATGATAAATTGTATCACCCCAGAATATTGCTTTTAAATATAATTATAAACTACATACAAGCATATTTAATTTAATTTAAAGTTTTACTTGGGTCTTCATAATATATTAAAGTATTAAAGTATACTCGAGAAATAGTTTTAATATTATTCTAAACCAAAGCAATATTGATATACTACGGCAAAAATGTTTCAAAAGAATACTGCTTACTCTCTTAGAATGAAATAGTCAAAATTCTACTATTTGAATTAGTACCAGCATTTTTTACTAATAAAATAGTTGTTTTAACTTTTAAATAGTTATTTTTAACTACTTAAATTTTGACTAATTTTAGATATGTAAGTATTTTACTAATTGTAGATAAGTAAGTAACTAATTTCTTTAATCGTTTGCGGCCAGCAACAAATTATTATTTAAGTTAAATGCATATACATAGGCTTTATGGTTAAATGACCCTTAAAAACAAACAAAGACTTAAAAAGTTTAGCTCAAAACAGCAACGCAAAAAATATACTCAACTTTAAAATATTATGAACAATATTTATAGTAGGGTGTTTCAAAAAAACCTTTTTTTTGTTTTTTTCTCGGAACCACGCTCAAAAGTTTCGTATAGATATAATAATGAGCCTGTGAAAAAATGAGCTCTTAATTTCAAAATTAAGATGTTCCGCATCGCACTTTTCGATTTTCCATAAGAATAACATAGGAAAAATTATTTTTGTTTCTTTTTATTTTTGTAACTAAAGAACAATAGGTCGTACTTTAAAGTTCTTGACATATTTGTAGAGAATTGAACGCTCTACAAAAAAGGTTTTTTATGATTTTTTGATAAATTTGATCCTTCTAAAGAAATTTAAGGTCAAAGTTCAAATTATACAAAATTTTTGGGTTTTTTAACTACCCGACTACTTTTGAGCGTGGTTCCGAGAAAAAAAAACAAAAAAAGGTTTTTTTGAAACACCCTAATTTATAGACAGATAAAACTGTTTTTATAAAAGTGACTGATGGCTCATTGGTTATGACTCCGCTTGACAACCGACAGACCCGAGTTCAAACCCCGGCTGGGTTAGAACTTTTTTAAATTTTATTCTACCAATTTAACTATTTCATTGAGTAGAATTTTACTAATTATTATTTATTGACTGCTTTTTCGCTATGACAATTAGTCAAATATGACATAATTAGTTATTTTTGACTAATTCATTTTAAGAGAGTACATACTAACTAGCTTTATCGACCTCTTCGTCTGACATCATAAAGCTCACTAAACTACCATTTGGCTTTATAAAGGTGTCGGAGGAGGATTTATTAAAGCTGTAACAAATTCATTAAAGCAGTTATAATTAAACCTTTAGGAGAATTAAAAAATGCTAGTTTTGTATTTATGAAACTATTGTTGCATTTAAATTAATTCCCTTAATTGCATTACTATTATTTATTCCGAATAATCTATAGATTATTATACAGTAAACAAAATTCTAAACCATAAATTAATTATGTTTTCTAATTGAATTACGTGTGTGTGCCCGTGACAGCTTAATAAAGGGGACTTCAATTTGGATTGTTTACCGAAAAACGTTTGCTAACAAACACAACAGTCTTCGTAAACTTGATAGTTTTAAGTTCATGAATACCTAATTAAAACAAATCAAAAACATTCCAAAACAGTTTTAAAATTGTTTAAGTTCTTTAAACTTAAAAAATGCTTTCGTTTCTCGAGACTATGGTTTTAGTTCGCACCATTGTCACATGTGGCAGGACCGGCGTTTTCCAGTTTGAACATCTTGACCGTTGCTTGGTAACGAATTGATGTTTGATTGACAATCGCAATTTGTTTAATTTGATCTTTTTGGCAAAAAAGAAAAGATTAGGTAACGAGGAAGCACCTGTCTCACGTATCCTTGGTGTGGAGCGTAGTCCGTAGCTGAGCGTTTAATTAAATGTCAAATGTCAAAAATGTCAATTCTCGATGGCCGATGTATAGAGGGAAATAGTACAAAGTGCTTTCCATTTATAACGTCAGCCAAATTCCATTACCGAAAGACGAATTACTTTTCGTTGTCCTTTTGTGACTTGTTATACTCGTACCTAAGCCAGGGACGGACTTAGTTTGCAAATCCCTCCTGCACAGTTTGTATTTAAAAACCAAAGTATATAATTTATTACACAGAGAACACAGGAACATTTTGAACTTATTATATTAAAAACTTACATAATTTATTTGACATTTGAACATATTTTAATCTAATCGGCTCATATAATTCGTGTAAGTAAATGAGTATTTTAGAGACAGAGACTTTTTTAATATAATATTTTGTGGTGAAATTGCACAAATTGTGGCACATAATAACACAACATTGTTTAATAATAATTTCTTTAATTTATTTAAAAATCTTAATAATTTTTGGTAAAAGGGAAAATGAAACTAAATTATTAATTTAGATACCTATACGTATACAGGGTGTTATGTAATTAATGTTATATATTAAAATACTGAATACCTTTTGACATAAGGAATAAAGGAAAAATATTTAAAAAAACATTTTTCCAAAGATAAAGAAAAAATATGCATTAGAAGTTTTTTATATTTTTTGTGATACGCCACTGGTTACACACTTGTTTATCTCTGCACACCTGTATTTTGTGAGTACATAGATACCAACCAACAAAGTAGCTATGCGTTTGCCAGATGTAAAAAATTGTTACTAAAAATTTTTCTTGCAAAAAATAAATAAAAACTCAAAAAACTCAAAGTTTTATGCCCTTAAAGCTCTAATACCCTTCTGTATTTATTTACTGAGCTATTAGCTTAAGCAATGATTAGAAAATTTAGTACCTTTGAAATTTGAAATCCATAACCACAAAATTAATTTTTTCATCAGTTTTTTTCTCTGTTTACTCAGATGAAATTGGGACCAGTTCACAGGTTAAACTTTAAACATTTAAATTGTGTAAATAAATCCAAAAGCACTTCCCTTAGTTAAGATATTTACAATTTGAAAACATAACCTAAAATTTAAAAGAAATGCACTAGATTCTGTCATAAAAGTTGGCAGATTTTGTTTGAATTTACCTTCAGTACAAAAATGAAATAACCAACAATTAATAAAAACGCCAAATTGACAATTTGCATTGTTAATTTTGTCATTTTTGTAATTAAGCTAAATTTAAACAATGTTTGTCAACTTTTTTGAGAGATTTTGGAAACACTGTCACCAACCATAACATAATAAATCCACCAGATTAACCTAAAGTTCCTAGTCGATCAGTGGCGTACTTTTTGGTAGGATAAAGGTTATTATAAATTATTTTTAGACTTTGGTATTTAGAAAAAAAAAGTTTCAGGTGCTTCTTTATGGACCCTAAGGAACAACCCATTTTAATATATAACATTAATTACATAACACCCTGTATATGTATTCAGCTAATATTACAAAAAAAATATGGAAAATAGAATACCTAAACATAAAATAAACATAACAAAACATAAACTACAAACTGAAAAATAAAATTCGTATTGCTAATTCTAATAATATTAAGATATAATTCAACATGAAATGCATCTCCACTTAAAATAGTACAAATGACTATAGATTAAATATGTATTCAGCGACCAACACAAAAATTTTGAAAGGATAGAATTAAGTTAATATATATATATTATATTATATATATTATAAACTGAAAATATAAAATAAACATAAATTACAAACTAAATTGTAAAATTTATATTCTAACTCAAAGTTGTACTATATTTATACGAATTATTTAAGAAATTGTACAAAAGAGTAAAATTTATTTATGAAATATTTTTTGCACAACTTTGGGAAATGTTTTTTAAACGGATTTTTCTCTGTGTATATATCCATTTTCTTTGTATAATTAATAATAAATAAATAATATTTCAGTTTAATTTTGAAGACGATAAATTATTAGTCATGGGTTTAACATTTTTTGCCCCCGCCATTATCCCCCACCACACTATTCATAATTATCAAAAATAACAAACCCTTTTTTTTCATAAAAATCATTTCTCATCAAATAACGAATTTTATTCCATAAGTATAATATCAAAAATAATAAAATTTATTTTACTTGCCATCTCCGTTAAATCTTAAATATAACAAACCTTTAAAATATCATATAAATTCTTTAGGAAATATAGCTTCTATATCCAAGTACTTTTTTATTTCTACGAGGTTTTATTTTCAGTCTTGTATCCTACCCAGCTAATAGTATTAACCCAGTTATTTCAATTTAATTTTATTAGCAAGTAATCAAAGTAATCTAAAGCACCTGTTCAATTGCTTGAAAGTCATCGATTCCAGTTAAAAAGTTATGAAATATTAAATGTATAATTATTTTTTCGTATCGATTTTAGTACATAATTTAACTAATGGCCGTTAAAATCAAATGATTTCATTTATTTATCTAATGAATTAGGTTCATAAAGAAAGGGAAATTAATAGTATTTTATATTATATGATTCATCTGCTTAATTTTTTTTTATTAATATTATTTTAGTCGGGATCTTAAAATAATAAAAAATTACACTTTTTTACGATTTGAAGTCGAATATTTGATTGTATTTGCTCTAAGGTTGCAAAAGAATTTTTTTTATTAAAATAAGTTTTCTTTTGTATCTTGAATAATATATGTATTGAATAGGGACAGTTATATAAATGTAATTTAAAGAAAACTTACACAAAATGGTCCCGTTCAAACTACCAGAACAAAATTAAAACACCATATTTTAAATTACTTAAAAAACTTTATTTTTTTTGTAAAAATGTTTAAATTCAGTCTTTATCTATTAAATTAAAAGTCATAACTCTCTTAAAATGAATTAGTCAAATGACGCGAAAAAGCAGTCACTAGTAAACAAAATCGAAAATAAATTCTACCCACCATATCCCATTATAATTTTCCCATGTATTTTGACCCACTAAACACGAAAATCACACTAAATTTTTTTTATGGAAGCGTTTTTGAGATATGAATTTTTAATTGTTTTTTTTTCAATTTTTGGACGTGTTTTAAAGTTTTTGAGTATAGCTTGAAATCTACTTGAACGATTTGGCCAAACAAGCCCTTAAATTGAAGGTATTTGAGCCCTCTACAACTTTTTTCTACATACTTTTAATATCGGAAAAGCATTTTGATGCTAGCGATTTTGATAACTTATGGCAAAAATTGAGGTCGAAAATTTACATATCATCCTGGAAAAGGTTTAAATCAAACAGATAACTAGAAATTTTTTTTGTGATGCTGACATTTTTACAAGAAAAATTAAGCTAATGTTGATAAAAATACATGGAAAAATGGCGGTTATGAATTTTTTAGTGGAAGACCAAAATTTAGCTTTTTAACGATTTTTTTTTTTTTCGTAAGTGATGAGCACGGAGAACGTTTTCACCAGAAAATGAAGGCCATGGAGCGGCGGTATCACGGCTTCTGGGATGCATCCATGATGGATGATTACATTTGGCCCCTCATACGAGAAACGGAATACAAAAGCAACAAAAAACAAAAAAGGAGCCAGAATTTTTTTAAACTTATGCTTATTACAACAAAATAAAACTTTCAATTTCTTCAATGTTCAATATTTATTGTTTAATATTCAATATATAATTTAATTTCAATATTAAATGTTTAAAATGAATATCAATTTTTATATAATTCAATAAAATTAAGAAAAAACGTAAAAATTCTCGAAAAACTGAATTTTGGTCTTCCAATGAAAAATTCATAACTTCGCCATTTATCCATGAATGTTAAGCAGCTTATTTTTTCCTTTAAGTATCATCTATACGTAAAACAAATGAAACTGGACTTATCTTTTCGTTTTCTTTCTTTCCCAGAAAGATGTGTAAATTTTAGACCTCGATTTTTGTAAAAGAAAAGGACTTTTTCTACTTCATAAAATAGCTAGCATCGAACTTCTTGCCTATACCAAAAATATACAAGATACCTCGAAAACGCTTCTATGAAAAAAAATTTAAGTGTGATTTTCGCGTTTAGTAATTCTATTTAATGAAATAGTCAAATTAGTAGATTTAAATATAAAAACGTTTTGTCAAACTTCTTGTTCTGTTCTAGTTTTAAATGAGGTTTAAATGTAAAAGAATAACTAATAATATATATTTTTTTGTTATTTTACAGGTCTTAGGATACGAATAGCAAACTTATTTTTTAAGCTACTAACATGCGTTTTGTACATAATTCGAGTCATCACAGATCTCGATCCCACATATGCAGCATGGTAAGTTAAATATTAAAAACACTTTTATGCAAAATAATATAAAAAATGAGGAAAATACTGAGTGTACACGGATGGTCTTAACTATACTTGTAAAAATATTTATTTTAAATTTTTCAACGACTATTTCCCTCGTCTTAATATCCACCAATCACAAACGCGCAATTTTGAATTACAAATGGTTTCTAGGTGAAAAAACTGTGTGACAGCACCTGTCAGCAGTTTATTCGAGTTTACCCGCGGCAAAACTTGACAGCTGTTGTCACCAAAAATTGCAATTTATATTTTAATTGTTAACTGTTACTCATGAAATAGTCTTGTCAAATACCATTCGGGCATCTAATTTTTCCTGTGAAAAAAATCGAGAAAACACAATGCTAAGTAATATTTTTTAACAAAAAGCATTCGTGCAGGTGCAAAAATCCTTCTCTTCGACTCGGATTTTTGTTGCCACCAGCACTCATGCTTTTTGTTAAAATATCACTTAGCAACGTGTTTTTTCGATTCTTTTCGGAAAAATTGAATGCCCTTATGATATTACTTACGAAAAGTTATTTTTCATAATTTCTTATGCTTGTTATATAAATTTAATTCGCGTTGAGAAACTCCATTTTGTTGTACAGGATGAGCAAAAATACTGATTTTCAAAATTAAATTTTTTAAATATTTTTTTTGAAGCGCTAATATAAAGAGATGGTAAAGAGAAATCAAAAAGTCAAATAAAGTTTTTTCATATGAGTTTTTGATACTATGATATTTGATATTGAAAATTTAAGATATTAGTTTTCAAATTTTAACAAATAATTAAAGACATTGTAGACATGTCAGTTGAAAGCAATCACAAAATGAGATAGCAGTTAATTTCTACAAAATAATAGGACCACTCAAGTTAGGACCTGAATTGATTTTATTTTTAATAACAAATATCTTAGTAACAACAACTCACATGAAGAAACTTTATATGGCTTTTTGGTTTCTCCTTACAAGCTCTTCATATAAGACCGTCAAAAATTTTTTTTTTTTAATTTTGCAAAATCTACAATTGTATTTTTTGTGCGCACCCTGTATAACAAAATAGAAGTTTCTCATCGTGAATGGTATTTATATAACAAGCAGAAGAAATTACGAGGAGTGACTTTTCTTCGAAAAATTGAAAGTAAATATTTTTACAAGTATAGTCAAGTCAATCCGTGGACACACTGTATATGACGGTAAGTTAGTCTTAAATGATTTTTTTTTCAGTTACGGCTGTACGCCTGGAAACAAGACAGAATACATCATATCGGCCAACTTGACCGAAGAAAAGTTTCAAGAGAACCCCATCATCAACTGGGACGCCATTGTGTACGTAAATCGGCCCTTGGAACTTTGGGTGGTGCAGGTCGTGTTGGCCATGATTAGCCTCACAGAGGCCCTGTTATTGGCCTATCTTGGATACAAGGTGAGACCACTAACTTACGAGGTGTGTTCAGAAAATATCGGGAATTTTCGTTTTTTGAAACAAATATTTATTTATTCGTCTACATTAATGTTGTCGCCTTCAAAATAGTCCCCATTGGATATTATGCACATATGCCAGCTCTTCTTCCAATACTCGAAACACTTCTAAAACTCGATCTTTGGGATAGCCTTTAGTTCTTTCAGCGATGCGCTTTTAATGTCATCTATGCTTGCAAAACGACGGCCCTTTAAGCTTTTCTTTATTTTTGGGAATAGGAAAAAGTCAGACAGAGGCATGTCTGGCGAATATGGAGGCTGGGGAATCATTACAGTATTGTTTTTGGCCAAAAAATGTGTTCAAAATTTAACAATTTTGGAACAAATTTTGCTGCCACGCATTTTATACCCAAAACATTTAAAAAAATTTCATGGGATGAGCCAATCGATATACCAACATCATCAGCGACTTCTCTGATGGTTTATAACCATTCTTCCACTTTTTCCATATTTTTATCGGTTGTTAATGTGCTTGTTCGGGGCGTTCGTCATCTTCAACGTCTTTACGGCCATCTTGGAAACTCTTATACCACTTGTAAACTCTTGTTTTACTTATAGCAGACTCACTATAGGCCTTTGTTAACATTTCACAGAATTTATTTCATTTTTTAAGCAAAATTGAATACAAATTCTCTTTGATCCATTTCTTTTAACGAACGAAAATTGCCGAGCTCAAAAAACACGTCTAACCTTAGCGGCTGCCACAGACAAAGTAAGCAATGAAAACAGCTAAAGTTTTTATCATACTTCGGGGGCATGTATACCAACATAATAAATAAAATTTTATGACAACCGGACCCACCGAAGCTTCGAAATTTAACAATTGACCATATGCAAGGAATGCGGTCGATGTTACCAATGGTAAAAAAATAAAATTCCCTATTGGGAACATTCAATTATATTAAGTTGGCTACATTGAAAATTTGAACTTCCCGCACAAACTAAATTAATTTCCATCTTTTTTTTAATAATAATAAATAATAATAATTCCCACATTTGAAATTCGCACCTTAATTTATTATACAACATTGGAACTACCTTCTTTATCTCTGGGAACTACTAGAATGTATGTCAGTTTGTGCGGGAAATTCAAAATTTCAGTGTAGCCAACGTAATATAATTGAATGTTCCCAATAGGGAAGTTTATTGTTTTACCATTGGCAACATCGACCGCATTCCTTGCATATGGTCAATTCCCGTTATTTTCTGAACACAACTCGTACTTAGTTTTGAGCGATTTGAAGATGCGATAAAAAATAATTTGCTTAGCACAAATAATTTATTGTAAGCATTGCGGCGTTTTGTAATTTAAAAATGAACAGTAATTCGGGAAACATTTCATAAAAATGTAATCTCATCTCGCTGTTTGCTCTCGACAATTTAATAAAACGCAGTTCATATCCGTAAAATTGCGTTTTACCCGCCGTTTTACTATGTATATAAACGTTAAGAGTTCAAGAAACTCTTGTCGCAAAATATGATTTACCTATACACATAATATATTATATCTACACATTTGTGTTTGTGTATATATTCACAAAAGTATACGGGTCCGAAGATTTTTTTATTTTTAATAGGGTAAACCACATAGTTATTGGACACTTAAGGAATATTATTTATTTAAAATTTATATATGCCGTTGTTTTAGAGATTTTAGTTTTTAATATTAGTTTTATAAAAACATGCAAAAAAGTATAGTAATTGGACATTTTATACAGTAATTGGACACATGGACCATAGTTATTGGACAATTTTTATATAAACATAACAACTTTACATCAAATAACATAAATTGTTAAATATTTTTTAAAGATAAATTGCTGTTTTAGGTAATTTTTTTATTTCGTGTTTGCATATATCATACAATTTATATATTTCTTTCTCGGATTCCTCATCCCTTTTCTGAATTCTGAAGGTAACTACTAATTCCTTGGTCTGGCTTCTGAAATTGTTTGTTGCAAATATCATTATGTGTGTTATCTCTAGTTTGTGAAGCATTTATAATGTTTATGCCGGAACAGGATGATTTTTATATATCCAATATTTTTTGGGTGGTATGTTAAAAGTATTTTCCGAATTTATTAATTTTGTTGCCATTAGTTTTTTATGTTCTCTATCATGCACTGTATTTGAATCACTGTTATTCTGCAAGATGTCTTGTGACGAATAAATCACTATATTACTTACTCTCTAAAAATGAATTAGTCAAAAATGTCATAGCGAAAAAGCAGCCACTAATAATTCTCGTCAACAGCAACTTGTATCCAGTATAGCAGTCAATTCCTGTGAAATATTATTCGCTGAATCCGAAAATGTCGTCAAAAGTTATAAAACTAGAGCAGTTTTTGAAATATAATCAATTTTACATACAATATGGAATGGACTATAATATAGTCCATTCCATATTGTATGTAAAATTGATTATATTTCAAAAACTGCTCTAGTTTTATAACTTTTGACGACATTTTCGGATTCAGCGAATAATATTTCACAGGAATTGACTGCTATACTGGATACAAGTTGCTGTCACTATATCTCAAAAACTGCTTAACTTTTATAGCTTTTGACCGTCTTTTCGGATTCAGGGGATAATTTTATATAAGAATTGGCTGGTAAATGTCCGGGATACAAATAGAGTATGATATTGGACATATGTCCAATAATAGAAATTCACATTTTTTACCAACCAGTAATTGGACACTAGCCATTTTACTGTTGGTTTTCAGAATTAAAATTAAAACGCATTAAAGTGACAATGTTTAAACCATGAGGAACACATTTATACCACACACTGATCTGTACACTTTTTAGAAATATTTTTTATTGTAATTTAAGCACAGCCCTGCTCTTAGCAAAAAAAAAACAAAAATCTTACCACCAAAGTAACGTGCGAACTTTTTTGTCCTATATTGGACAAAATAAAGTAGTTTTATATTATTATCGACTGAGATTTTTATAATTGTACACAGCGTCATCTAATGATTTGACTTTAAGGTAACTATTTATAGAACTTGTTTTCACAGTATTAATGTTAATTCTCCAATAACTATAGTGTCCGATAACTGTCTACTTTACCTTACTTTAAATTTTGTTTGGGCTTTTTCAGGGCTTTATTACATCGCATTATTTTGGTGTATAATAGAAAAACATTTTCTTAATATAGCGAAAACATTTTTGGTTTAGCTTTTGATTCAAGTGAAAATATATTACCGATGTAAGGAAAAGAAAATGGGAGGAGAAAAGCCAAAAGAGGTACTCAAGAGTTTATAAGTGCCTGGCTGAGAGTTTGCACTGGATAAAATTCATTCATTAACCAGTGTATATTTGGGTTGGTTTTTATTTAATAACTTTTAACAAAAAACATTAAATAATTCAATAGAATGTAATAAAAAGATCTTAAAACTAAGGTTGAGTATTTTTGACAATTTTAAAAACATTTTCATAAAAAAAGTTTGTGTGATCAGATATTGACAGGCATCAAAAACCATTCTCAATAGACAATATTTACGTACAGAAATATATACATATATAGGTTACTATCGGAGTAAAATTATTGATTATTTCACTGCAGGGTTCATACAAAAACAATATTCCTAGTAAGTTAATGGCGCATGGCATACGTTCACAGGGATCGATACCTGTTGAAGAAATGTTTGTGTCACTATTTACATATCAGGAGGTCCTATTATAATAATACATTTAATGACATTGGCCGAAAGCATTTTTGCCACATGGTAAACAAACATTAAAATTTGTATATAGGTCCTATATTATATATATTATATATATTATATATAGGACATATATATACATATAAAGTGTGTTTCATTTTGATTTGCGAGAATTCGGTACTTATTTAAAAATAATCCTATTAAAAAAAAATATTTTTAGTTTGTAGTACTCGAAAAGCTCTATCTTTTTGAAGAAACAAGACATATAAAGCCTTGTATTTTGTACAAATATGGCGTTTTTTGCTCCAAAAAATACAGTTTATCAAGATCTACACTATAAAACAAATCCGGTTAAAGTGGCTCAATAAATAAAGATTTTACAGGGGAGAGTCGCAAACAAATGGGTCACACTGTATATATATTTATATATACACATAGTTTTAAAAATATTTTTTTTACAAATTTTACATTGTTTTTTGAACATCCTATAAAAAAATTAATTACAAAATTATCGTTAAGTATTATTGTTCGTTGCGTTGAGTATGTTGAGTATGTTGCGCGATTAAAAGATGGTTTAACAAAAAACAAAACTTTATTTTAACATGGTTGTGTATATGACTAAGTTTAAAATCTTAATCTTAAAATACTAAAATCTAGGTATAAAATACCAAAAAGGGGAGGGCGTTGCAGCCACTTGATGGCTAATATCTTCCAGATGTCCTAGCAGAATTGATTCTCCCTTTTCTTGGTAATTGCTTTTACTTGTAAATATTATGCACTTGTTAAACAGATAATTTATAATATATGGGCCAAGCGTAAACATGCCCCCGGCCTTGGCAAGTATTGCCAAAAAAAACAAACAAAAAACAAAGAAAAATACATTGATATGGCAATACCCTTTACATATAAATACTATCTAATAATATCATATTATGACAATGCAAATGAAGTAGCAGAATATCTCAATTGGTGCATTATAAATTCGTTAAATATATAAGTATAAGTAAAATATAATTTGTAAAAATGACTGCCTTTTAATTTTAAACATGCTATAATCGAACATATAAATTTTAAGCCTAACTACCTAATACTAACTTATATTATGTCTACATGAGTTCAATATATTTAGTTTGTTCACTGCTTTTAACTATTCTCTACGTCGTCGTTTAAGGGCAACGGACATATTTTAGAAAAAGATCGTGTTACGACACCACTAGAAGTTTTAATTTTAAAAACACGTGCTACACCATCGCGACCACAAATCACTTCAATG